GCGGGAAATAGTGTTTTTGATTTGAGTTGAGTTGATTTCTTCACTATTTCCAAAACATCTTATTACAAAAACTAAATGAAAGAAAAGCAAACTCAACGATTTCCAAAAATAAAAATAGTAGGGATAACGCAAAAAAATCCAATTGATTTAACTTATTTCCATTGCAGTCCCAACTGATGAGAATTAACCTGACAAGTACAGTAAAATAGATCAAAAATCATCCAAACATTATAGACAAATCAAAAACACAAAAAACACGTGGCAAAAGCAGAAGTACACATTCAAACAAACAGTAGTCGTCAATATTAAAGGCTCTCCCTGACAGCTTCTCTTAATGCGCGTCAGACAAAAGCACAGTACCTGCTCTCTCTGGAACTCCTTCTTGAGTTGTTGCTGGAGATGCTCGGAGCTCATTCTCTTGGGCAACCTTCCTAAGTCGTCTATCTCTGGTGACCGTTTGTAGCCCAAGAAGAAAAGCCAATTCAGCCACCAGAAGACCAGTTCTGAGGCAAAGTTGACGTAGTCACTGCAGTAGAGCCGACCGGGGGAAGATATGTCCTCCGGTGTTTCGTCCTCCCTACGCCGTGTGCGACGTGACACCTGTCAGATTCGAGAGATGGTCAGCATCGGAAGGGGGCCCAGATTGAGTGTCCTTATACGGCCTTCTCAGTCATGGGCATCAACAGTATTTTCATAGTGTTGTCGAGCACGGGGCCTTGCTTTAAGACAATGTTTACCGGTATTAGGCCTTTGGGCTAGGTATACGTTGAAGTCTCCGAACATTCAAAGATAGAAGCACACTTATTCATACAGGCCGTCAAATTTGTATAGGTCAGGTGCCTAGTGTTCCTATTTGATCAGGACAGGAGTACTACATGTTGTTTTGGAGGATAAACTCAAGTCCCCTATCCGAAAAGAGTGGATTCAATATTTTATTTCATGGCTTTTTATTACCATCCTGATATATTATTTCTGTGAGTGGCTTTGTAATTCACTGGCCTCTATTCACAAAATGAATGCTGTTTGGATCATTTGCTTATTTTTTCTTGCCTCTTTCTGTGTGTGTCTCACCTTTACTCGGATGACATTTAATTCCAACATGAAAAGCACCACAAAGCAACTCAGTTTCAGTACCACCAGGTCAAACCGAGTTATCGTCACCGATCCTTGGTCTAGCTCAAGTAAGTTGATAAGCCTTCCGATCTCTGTCAGAGCCGCCACTGTATAGTAGAAGAGCAGGAGGACGGCCATGCCACCAAGTTGCCAGATCTCCATTTGCTGGTAGTAAGCCAGAGAGACGATCACAGCGACTAGTGCGCAGATTGACGGTGCGTACAGATGGGGCTGAGTAGCCCCTAGACTCTGGATATAAGTTTCATCTGTCAGGATGCCTTCAGCTAAGGAGGCAAGGAGGAGGAATAACAGGAGGATGGACACAGACCATCTTGCGGAATGACCGGGAAACCGGATGAGGTAGTCCGAACTTCTACCTTTGCTGCCCCATGTGCAGCATCCTAGGAACAAGACGACAGAAGACAGGACGATAAATCCTAGGTGAGGAATGAAGTCCAATGCGTCTACAAAACAAGTGTTGTAGTGCCCGTTGACGAGATTGAAACCCCCCGAGCTATCCAAGTCCGTAGAGTTTAATCCACATAACCAATGCCAGCCCTTAGCAGCTTGAGCTTGCATCATAACTGTTCCTGTTCGCTACTGAAAATGGTAAGTTCTATAGTCACTAACCAGCAAAGATATGTCAAATGTTTAGCCACAGAACAGCCGATCACAAAATTATATTTTGTCAGGGCAATTAGTCAGAAAATACGCCCACTCAACTGGAGGTATCCAAAGGACATCAAACTTTGGCAAACGAGCTCGTAGTAGGTCACTGCCAAGATGGTGAGTCCCCGCTCCTTTAATATAAGAAAATAATAGGTCTGAACTTTGAGAAGAAAAACACAAACCCCACGGCACAGAGCATAAGGGCCTACTCTAAGTATTAGCTTACAGATACGGGTGATGATAACAGACTTAGTCTATTTACTCTCATATGCACTCTTGATTTTAGAAAAACAGTGTAAAATGCAGTCATGTACCCAAACATACTTGCAAATGTTTCTTCCTTTCGGGAAATCTTAATAAGTTGTAAAATGTCAAAACACCACTTGCAAGTGCACTGTTATCAAAATTTGAGATAACGTCTGATCGACCACAGGTTTTTCCATGTGCAAGTGCGTTTCAGGTGGAAACAAAAGAAAACAAAACCAGAACATTTTCCCTCTTGTGAAACAAATAGTAGCTTTAAATACATGCATAAACGATAAAGAGATTTTCCAGGGTTTTCTGCTGATTTGCATTTTTTCTTTATACTCCTTATATCTCGCTATTGTGCAGTGGCATAAATGGGGTACAAATTCTGGCGCATCTGGGTTGCACAAATGTTTTTCCAAGAGGGCACTTACATTAAAGCCAATGACGCTGCTTGTTTTAGGTCGTGTTTATTTTAAGATTAGAAATGGGGGAGTGGAGGGACAGGTTCCCTCGGCTCAGCAGTTTCCCCACTTCCATGGAATAAACAATTTTGTTCACAAAAAGATAAAGGTGATTACACATTATTTCCATTCAGTACAGAACCTGATAAACATTGGAATGTAATCGCTTAAAAGATTTTGTGTATGATGAAAGAAAGATTCATAAAGTAGATGTATAGTGTCGTAATATATTTTTATACTTCCCTTTAGATATAAAAGCAGTTACTAAGCATTATTTACCAATAAGGAATTTCGGAAAGGGTCAATGCTGTTTTAAGCCTCCTTGAAGTAGACTGTAATCGTGGTCGTCGTACCCCCCCCCAAAAAAAAGGGTTAATCATCATGAACTTCAGTTTGTTTTTTACTTGACACAGGTTTTTGTGCAACCCCACCTTTGCAGTCAATGGTGCCCCATCTGCAAAGAAACAGATCAGGAAGCAGACAGTATTACTACCAGAGGAGGGGGTGGACAATATCAGTGATGAGCAACTTGGGGACATTAATCCAGCAGTAAAGAAAAAATTATTCGATCGAAAAAATGAAATAAGACGCAAGGACAGTGACAGCTCGGAACTGAATTTGGACGAGTTATAATACTTTTTGAATTATTTTATTCTATGTATCAATTAAAGAAAACCTCATATCTCAAGCACAAATCTGTGTACAATAGCAGCATTTTTGTCTTACCAAAACATTTCAAAGGTCATGCTTTTGTGTTGTGAAGAATGCAAAATATTGTGAGTGGGGTGGTTTTTCTAGAAAAGCCTGCAACTTTCGATACTTTGTGACAAAGCAAATCTAGTCAATCCGTTGTTCGTGAATCAAGCAATTATTTTGCTTAAGGTAGACCTTTGGAATAGAGTCTGAAAGTATACTTCAAAACATAAATATTTGAAACATTGTTTTTCTTGCGCAGGCCCATAGGCTGGCGGAAGGGCGGGGGGTTATATAATAAATGTTCGTACCATTCGATGTTGTGTTCCAAAGCACTAGGCCTTTGTATAAAAATATGTGTTCACAGTGCCAAAAGTTCCACTTTCGGTTTGACTACTCCCCACCCCCACTCCAGTCTCCGGCGGGTCTGACAACGGGCCTGTTGCCTGGCTTATCACGGAGTTCATAACAGTTCTGTAGCCATGTATTAAAGCGACTTAAGAAAAGGTCCTCATCTTGACGACCATTTTCGTCACACAGATTTCAGTGGAGAGAAACGCTTCTTGATAACTTATTTCCGTCTGAAAACAACTGTCACGTTACTGTTTCCGGTATGGATTATTTTTCATTAACTGATGGAAGCTTTTCCTTCATTCTAAAAGATTTACTATGCTACAGTAACTCAGAACAGAACGCACGTCCGACTTACGTCAGACACACTTCATTTCGAGAATACGCTGTTGGAATACCAACCTGTTTCATTATATTATGGCCAAGTCCGATCGGCGACAGTTAGTTCACAACGAGTCGATTTTACCTGGTATCTTGCAGGACATATTTTCGTGCACTAATTACCTGTACCCGGCAGAACTGACCAGCTGTTGATAAATTTTTGCTGATCGAACTTGGCCGCAGTGAACGCACACACGTGCGTGTAACACCAATGCTCGTGTGCGCTTCAACGAATTACAAATGGAGTGCTGGCAGCAATTTCCAAAACTGCGTCGTTGGAAATAGCCTTCTTTATTTTTTCTTCAAAATGACAGCTCGCCCAAGAGAATCGTTTTACAGGGATTGTATCCCATAACCATCTAACCTAGTATGTTTTTCAGTAATAACCTCGTCAGCCTATATTTGTGGATAATTGCAAAAATTAATAATGGTTTATACCTTTAAGGACGGGCTCAAGAGAATGGACACCGGTAATGTCCCTTGACTTAGGCTCAGGTAATTATCAACATGCATTTCCCTGATCCGTTTAAGACCGGTTAAGCTCACATTTGTTCATTTATTAAACTGTGGAAGATAAAACATGGAAGAGAAATTTATATGTTGCCGCAAGTTCACTGCTCTAAAAGCCTTATTTAAACACAAAAGCAATTTGTTGAACTTAAAAATATTTTTATTAAGCTTCTCTGGGCCCAGTTATGCCCAGTTTTACTGATTTGAGTTGACTAACGAAGCAAAGATGCTATTGTGGTTGGCAAGTAATTTCTCCGGTGTGTCGTACTCAACGATCTCTCCATCAGCAAGGGTCAAAATGGAGTCGGAATCCAGGATTGTGGCAACTCGGTGCTGTCAGAAACAAGATCGAAGAAATTGGAGTCTATATAGGCCTAGCTCACTATTTGAGGGTGTAATCGAGAGTGCAATTTGAGAGATAAACGAATTTCTTGGTGATTGGGATATGTCAAATGGACTAAACATTGGTTCAGTCGTCAAGGTCAAATGAACTGTCCAACGTGTTATCTACATGTACTATTCAGAAATGAGGAAAATGGTCTCAGAAATGTGACCTGATTCCATGTAACGCTTAAGCAGAATCAATTTGTATGCTTTACTTACTGCTATAGTTAAGACAGTACAGTCTGCAAACACGGTAGCGACAACCTCTTGGAGAATCTTATCCTGTTAAGGATTAAACAAAAAAAAGTGCAAGCACAACCTTTTATCAATTATCGATTCTTATTTCAATGTCAGAGGGACCATTTTGATAAAATTGGTCTTCAAGTTTTGAAAGTTTTCATTCCATTTGAGCAATTAATCAACAGATCACAACAACTCACCGTGTCCATGTCAATAGAAGCCGTGGCCTCATCCATGATAAGAATTTTTGACCGCCTCAAGAAGGCACGAGCCAGACAGAACAGCTGCCGTTGACCTACGCTGAAATTCTCTCCCCCCTCAGAGACGTCAGAGTCTAAACACATCAAAAGGATCTACTGGATAAATCTGAAATTAATCAGCAGCTATCTCCAAGCATTACTTGGACCAAATCAGTAAATTATGACCGACTAAGAGGCATTTACATAGGGTGCGTTCGATTAGATTTCACAGTGTCGTTAACCCTGACCTGGGGTGGCCCGTGTGTGCTGCATACAACAAGCGAGACGGTGGGGACGAGGTTAAACCCGAGTCAACTCGTTGAAGCTAATCGAACGAACCCACGAGTGCCAGAGAAACGAGCACTGAAACAAAAATAGCTCTCAAATATTCTGCCACTGTCTTTCATGAAAAAGTACCTAATTTGGAATGAGCAGCTCTAATTCACTCACCAAGACCTTTAGGCATCTGACTGACCGTATCCTTCAGCTGAGAGATCTCAAGACTGTGCCACAATTCACCGTCAGTCCTCTGTTTCTCCGGATCGAGATTGTATCTACAGCCAAAAAACAAAGAAAAAAAAATAGCTGGTTGCTGATTTCAGCGAGGCGGGAGGATTATGCATGTCACTTTACCAAAACTCATTGCTCTATAGAGAGGAAGTGTTACTCATTGATTGCCAAGACCCTTGGCAACACTTGAAAGCTTAGATCCATTTTGGTGAATCATCTTCAATTTTGTTCGAGGGTGCAAGGGAAGAAGACAACACCACCTTTTTTTTGGGGGGGGGGACACAACACGACTCATGATACTGCATTCGGGAGGATGTTTTCGCTCTATTTGGCATTACTGCTAACTTACTGTCACGAACTTGATGCGATATCTGAATTTTGCTGAATTCTATGTTAAGCAGGGATAACAGAGAGATGTACCTGATTGTGCCACTGAACAGAACGGGATCCTGAGGAATTATGGCCAGGCGCTGTCTCAAGGTGGTCAGGGGAACAGTGCTGATGTCGATGTCATCAATGAGGATAGAACCTGAGAGAGGTTGGGTGAAAGAAATTATTGCCTAGTTACAGGCTCACCAGATATGCTAGGGTGGAAGTAGCGAAGAAGCGGGGGTCCTGATGAGGGCTCTTGTATTTTTTTTAGCTGACTTTTTAAACGTTTGTATGAATTAGCTCAAGAGAACTTCTAGTTTAGTTAAATCCAATGTGTGATCTATTGCAATGAAATCTGATGATTCTTCTATTAACTCCAGCACCAGTAATGAAAACGTATGAGCCTCCCTCTCACCCCGATGATTATTAGATTACCTTTGCAAGTATCAATGATTCTGAAGAGTGCCAGAGTTAGAGATGACTTTCCACTTCCCGTCCGGCCACAAATTCCCACCTGAGGTTCGAGATAAAAAAAGGAGCAAAAAAGATGAGCTTCTGCTAAGACACAACTGAGCAAAAGGACGCCCATTTTGCTGGCCCCACTAAAGGATATAAATGTGACAGAAGTTTATAATTACGACCAGGTGACTCTTTAGTATTCCTACAAGAGCATGCGTTATTCGCAAAAAGCATCACTACCGGGTCATGATCAGGTAAAAAAGAAATGGAATTTTTTTCTGAAAACAATTTTGCATTTCCTTCATAGATTTCTTACCCCCAAAGGTTGTGGCACTGTTTCTGCAGTGTTGGCACTTTGAATTCAAAGTCGGTAAGTTCTTCAAAACAATTTCATTGGCAGCATGTCCAGCAGGAGAACTTGTTCCATCCAGCCTCCTGCTGGGGATGCCGTTTTCTTCATCATACTTTGCGTACCGTACCTTTCATTATTTTCTGGACTTCAGCCTGCTTAAATCGTAACTAGTAACTTTCAATGGACTTGACGACAATTTAAAACACCACTCGTGGAAACTGTTTAGAGTGCAGAAGTCTATCGGCTGACACACTGTGAAGCAGAATCCGGTTCTCAAGTGTGACGTCACTTAAGCTTAAACCGCGCCCACTGCACGAGGACTGCACATAGAGTTACATGCGTAGATCGCCGTTATGTGGGATCATGGAACTAGAAGTTAACGCACAACTTCTGCAATCGTCCGATTCGAGCCTGCGAATTGTGGCGCGTCCGCCTTTGTGACGAAGTCACTCACGCACCGGATAGCTTTGTTTATCAAGGAGAAACCAAACTTACATTACCTTTTCCCCAGATTTGAAGGTTACCGTGGCGTTTTTGATGACTGGGTCTAGTTCCTTGGCGTAGCGGACGTAGATTCCGTTCATTTTGATTTCTCCTCGTTGTGGCCAACTCTCTGGTGGCTCTGTACCTATTAGGTTCAGTAGATGGTGCAAGGTCAAGAATGGATCCGTTACCGTCAGACACGCTCAGGTCTAGTACTATTGGACCAGAACAGAGGTAAAGACTCCCCAGTTTTATCCACCCGTGCCCCTCACAGTAAATATCATTTTTAGAGACTCCTTTAGTGATCACAGGTTTTAAGGATCCATGCGATGAAGTTTTGAATCAGTTTTTGTGTATACAAGTACTCTTCTTCAATGTATAGAGACTGTTTGACATCTATTTTAGTTACGTGAACTGAAAAGTGGACTTTTTTAAAAACTTCAAAAACCACCAAGCATTTCTAGTCAAGTGATGGCGCTTCTGCCTTGATGTAAATCAAGTTTGCATTGGGCCTATAGTCAAATTGTGAACTCCAAATTTGCTTTGAAAACATTTCTGGGACAGGGTTTCTCACGGGGTTATTGCCATACTCTTACACAACAGTAAATTGGCAAAGGAAATGAAATCTATGGTAGCAGTGTTTGAACAAATCCAAATTTTTTTGTGCACTAATGATTACAACATTGAGGTTCAACGCCTTGGATGACATCATAGTCATTTGCTCATGACTAGGACATTTGCTTGAGCAAAAAACACAAATCTCCCCAAAACGGGTAAAAATAGCAAAACAAAGCTTGAAATAGGCATAATCTAAACCAAAAGATGCAATTTCAAGGGTTTTAGTAAAATGTAGTAGCATATTTCCATTGCACGGTCCTTTAAAAGCATAAGTAGTCCACATATTTCTCCTGGAACACACAAAACAACGGACAGTTGCGCTAGGTAATTTTTATATTACCGAGCATTCCAAATACGCCATGTCAGTGAGCTTTTGCCTTACTTATAAAGATATGAATACCTGTATAGTCTTCATTGGCAATGCTTGAGTACTCTTTGACACGCTCAATCGCGTTCATCTGCATCTCGGTTTCAGCAGCAAATCGGACAGCAAAATTCATGAAATTGGCAACCTGCAATAAACAGTCCGAATCGCCTCGTTTGAGAGAAGAAAAGCTGGGGTATAATTTGTCTCTTGGAGTGTTTTACAATGGGACTGTACAAAAAAGTGATGACATCTGAGAAAAACAGTAATTCTATAATTACAGTAGTAATTTGTCGAAAAAAACTAAGCTACAGCACAGAGCCACTTGTGCCCATGTCATCAGCAGAAATGCCTATTTCCTATGATAGATGTGTCAGAGTGTTGTTTCAGACAGCGATCTGAACACTTACCACCAATGTATAGGAAACCGCCAACCCAACTTCACTGGGTTCAATTGTGCCGTTGAGTGAACTGATGATGGTCCCCACTCCAGCAATTAGGATACCAATTACTCCAATCGATTCCTTTAACAGAAGAATACAACACTAGCGATAATTGATAAATATCCTGAAATGTTTCCCAGCTGTGGACAGCTTTCGTGACTATATACTAATTCGCATGATCTCAAAACTAGATTGCATTTAAATACTACCTCTTTCTATGTAAAAAAAAATACCAAAGGCATCCGGAATCTTTCATGCATCGTAACTTTCGTCTAGTTTTACCACAAAGACAGCAACACCTAATCAAACCCCATCCTTTCATATTCTTATTTTTAGGGGGCAGGCAAGTTTTATGTGCCCACGTTTGACCCAACTTTGTACATTTTCGAACGGAAACACAAATCGTTTGGTACCTTGTACACCTGCACTTAGATATGTACTCCTCGTCGTGTGCACCAGTCGAGAGATGTAGGATGGCAAAAATGGCCTGAATCAATGAGCAAAGATTTGTTTCGGTCGAAGTCAACTTACCAGTCGCATTCCTGCCCATCTATTCGAAGTTTGCAGATAAAGAAAAGCCGTGTTGTTCACGTTTACTTTCTTCATGAGAGTCGAGTAAAACCGATCTTGATCTCTGTAAATGAAGCGTGTGGCCCAAGAAATGATGAGAGGAAACCGAACGAAAAGAATTGTGTTGTATTGGAAATATCTTTGATGTTAAGTGTTTACATGTGTCCACTGCAGTAATGTCACACAAAGAGGAGCGAATTGCACTACTTGATGAAGATAAACAAATTTACTCAATTGCAACGAAGGTTAAAAAAAGCTTTCAATGTTCTTTAACCATTCTTGTGAAAGAAGTTGCCACTTAGAATCATAATCACTTTTTCCCATCAAGAAGGATGTGTTAAACATTACCATTGGACTGTAGTTTACAAATGGCTTAGCACAATTTTCACGACCTCTTTGAATTACATTATCCCTGAAAGGCATAGAAAGCTTATTAAACAAATAAATGTCGATAATAAGGAGAGAGGGAAAGATACCTAATAGTTAAAAAAGTTTCTACTGAACTGTCGCCGTGAAGGATCGGAATACTCGTTTGCAGGTATCTCACTCATTTGAGAGCCTGGGAACAGATTGCTAGAGATTACATAACTTTGGCTCTTTTCACATACTTCACACCTTTATTAAGGCACGCAGTCGTATTTCAAATGTCATATTACTAGTACAAGAAAAAATAGGGGAACCTGTATGCTCGAATGGTTGGCAGTCCGCCCAAGGTCTCTGAGAAGTGAGCAAATACTGGCGATTTGGTCACGCTGTCGAGTCTCTGAAGCGATCTGAAAGGGAAATTCCTCTGACTCAAGACGAATAATGCCATTAACTGTTTAAGTGATAAATGGGGGAACCTCCCATTAAAAGAAAAGTTGGTCAAACAGTGTTGGGCATTTCTTATTTGCCCAACCTTAGTTAAAGTTACCACATTATTGGTTAATTTCCATCACTGTTGGTCAAACATTGACCGATTGGGAAGAATTTGTCCAAGGTTGGGAAGTTGATATTTACACCAACACTGGGTAAAATATCAACCCCACGTTTTACAGTGTAATTCCCTTAACTCAGAAGAGGTCGTTATATTCCATATATACTATAATATTAAATTGTCAGGTAGTGGGTCTCACTTTGGCAGCTCTTAGAATATATCACTGAAATGGCTCATGGGATCTCTGATGGTTTCGTCAACTATGAGCCTTTTTCTGTAGTTTTGATTAAAATAACCTGACAGTTACGTGGTCAATACGTCGTGAAATCGGGCATTTTTTGAAAGTTACATGAAAAAAGCGAACAGAATGAAAACCTTTGGTGATGGTGACTTCATAAACTGATTGTTTTTCAAAGGAATGAATTTGGACAGCCGTCTTCTTTACCTACCTAGACGTTGTGACGTAAAATTTGGCTAGAAAGTAGTAACTGACCACCATAGGAGCAGCGAAGATCAAGAAAATCGGCAGAATGATTGAATTGACCACCAGTCCACTGACATAGTTCACAGAAAAGAATACCGTGGCGTCCATGCTCTGGAAAAGTTTCTATTGTCCAGAACAAAAATTTGTGAAAGTCAGTAAACAAAATTTAGAGCTGTTAAGTGGAATTGTTCAAATAAATTAACCTCTTCAGGATACCAGTTTGTAACCATGTGAAATCTCATTTGTGGTGATCTGACCGATTTGGAAATTTACTGCTCAAATGCAAAGCTGCAGTTGGCGTATAGGCTCTAACTTAAAAAGGACATTTTACATTTCGTTTGCTTTCCGAGACAATTTTTTTCAAATATTCCTTTGTCTAGAAGAAGGATGTGCTCACCATATCCAAAATAGTTGTGTCAGCTGCAAGGCGATTCAAGACACGACCGAGAGGGGTTGTGTCAAAAAATCTGGAACGATCCAAAACACGAACACTGATTGTCGGTCATCTATTATAAGGCTAATGCTGCATTCCAACTTGTCACTTTTACCTTCCTTTAGAAGACACCAACAGATCTGTACTTTGCCCATACAATTACCTTGTATTTTAAGCTCCTTTTATTTTACGTAGGAAAAACTAGCATGTTTTAGAAATACTGCAACACCTTTCGTCAAAACAAGAACTACTAGTCCCTCCAAGATACTTTCATACCAGTGGTCTGTTGAGAACAAATTTACCTATTCGTTATTAAACCTAAGTCCCTCACGGGGCATTACACCCAAATTACCTCATGGAACATTTGGTGATATTACGAAGCATGGAGATGTGCAGATCACGTGAGGCGACGTACGCTCCAAACACGATAAACATGCAACCGACGAAAGCGGTCACAACCCCGCCGACAGACAATCCAGCATAGCCAGCAATGTAATAGGACAGCGGCTTTATAGTGGACTACAGCCAAACACAAAACAGAACAAATCTTGTATCAGCGAACAGCAATACATGGTAACATGCCACGATACTGGTCTATACGACGGGTTGCTGGTTTCAGCAATAAACACTCTGTAGTATTAACATAGGTCTAATACTGCTTTATGAAAATAAGACATCTCGCTGTGTAATGTCACTTTAGGAAGGAGGAGGGTGAAAAATATTAACTTGTTCCATTGAATAAATTATGTCCTCTTACACGAATGGCTACGTGAATTTAATGACAAAAGCTTTTACCCAACGCAAAACATGCAATCTTCTATAAGAGTGGCACGGCCTGTTCAATATTTCAAAACAGAAATTTACACTGGAAAGAACTGGAAAGATGAGATTTGAGGACTGAAAATGCATTCTACCCAAAGCCCGGCTCTGGAGCTTTTTCAGACCCATTTTTCCTTACATTATCAGTTGTGATTCCTGCAGTAGACCATTCAGACAGCCAGAAGTTGGTTCCCACGGTGAAGCCTGCGTTGCCCACATATCCAGCAAGGAAACCAATGGACATCGTCCACGTCATTGCTCGACAGTAGAATGCATAGACTTTGTAGGACACAGATCCTCGTTCCATTTCTTCCTCTTTGATGAGTTTGGTGCCAGTTTTCGAGCTACCTGCAAAGAACAGCCAATAATCAATCTCAAAAGTGTCTTCAAATGAGAACAGGCTCCACGTGTACTTCACTTAACTCATTCCGACTGGCTTACAGTGCAACATCGATATCAAAACCTGAAAGAATATTCCCTTACACTGAAGCAGCCTTCCTGGACAGAGGAGATTTTTGTGCATCGGGGTAGATCACTTTAAACACATATAACAGCAGGAGAAAACTTGAAAATAAAGGTGTTCAAAAAGATTAATAAAGATAACGGCTCCTTGATTAGATATGCGTGGCTTAATTAGGATCGAGGTTATCAGTCGCTCAAAAAAAGAGATTTTTAAATTGAAGCCTGTACTTAATTGGAACCAAATACGACTGTCATATCGCTCAAACAATTTTTGGTTTTCTGTGAGCGAAGTAATTATGAATGAATTCAATGCAGGTAAAACTTTTTTATCTGGATTTGTCTTACTTGATTCCACGGATAATTCTCGGTTTATCTTCCTCTTGAAGACTTCCCTCTTTTCTTCATCAGACATCCTGCTCATGATGTCCTCTGTCTCCGTCTCTGACTCCGTAGCCGTCTTGACGGCTCGCTGGTACTCGCTGTAAAGTTCCGGAGCCTCGTCTATGATGTCTTGAAGAGTGCCTTGGTGGGCCACCTTACCATCTTTCATGACAATGATCTGATGATCAAGATTAATGTAAAGCTAATTGCACCATGGTTCAAAATTTGCACGATGACGTCTCATCCAGAAGAATCTGAATTGATTGTAATTATTATCATTTTAATTTTGATGCAAAGTCTGACAACTTATAATTTCGCTAGGGTATTCAGACATATCTTTTTAGTGTATTATATTTCCCTATTTCTTTCCCACCTTGTGTGCATGATGTAAGTATTGCAGTTGATGTGTTACCAAGAGAACGGTTCGTTTCTTCTTGAGGAGAGTCCCGACGATAGCCTTGTGGAAGACTTGCGATCCCACGTGGACATCCAAAGCTGAAAGTGGGTCATCCTGCAAAAATTTCACAACACAGAAAACACAGTTTTGCTTTAATTGAGATCTTTTGAAATTAAATTTGAATCTCCTATTAGATTTTTCACTGTACTTTGGTTTTTCTCGGAACCTTACTGATAGTTAAGTTACGAATCAGACGTTTTCAATACGTGCAATTTGGAATAGTGCCCCTCGAAGAATTTACAACACGTTGACTAATCACAGTGCGCGCCATCTGTCGACCCTTTCCAAACGCACATTAGGTCGAAAGATCTCGCGCATTGTGATTGGTCAACGCGTTGCAAACTCTTGGAGCCGCACTATTGTGAATCGTCCGTATACGGCAAAGAAAATATTGTAAACCGGTAAGATTCTTGGCTCAAAAATGTTTTCCATCTTTTCCATCAATAACCCTACAGTCGTTTTACACCAACACCTACTCTCTTAAATAAGATACTGCAGCATGAAGACTTAATTCATTTAGTTTTCTTCTGTTTCAATAATGATGTTGATTTTCCTCAGTAGATGTTTCCCCAAGCATGACTAGAGAGAGATTCTCAGGAGTGTGCTACAGCTAATGTTTGGATTGGGAATGGCGGGTAGACCTTACCTTGTAAGGAGAAGCATAGTAGGTTCGAGAAAAATGTATCAACCTACAAGTATGACGATATCCTTGTCGGAGTAGACTGTCCTCGCGATGCTGATTCGTTGCTTTTGTCCACCACTCATGTTGATTCCCTTTTCTCCTATCTCAGTCTGGTCTCCACCAGGGAGGATTTCGATATCGGGCTTAAGAGCACACACATCGATGGTTTTCTTGTACCTGCGTGTGAGGTTATGGAAATTCCAAGTTTGTCTCCTTTGAGTGCTGCTCCTTTTGAGTGGTCTGAGCTTATTAAGACAACCTGAGACATTATAAGTGGTTTTTGCCTTCATCTTCATCGACAGCAGATTGATGGTGCTATTTGTGTTTTAATGCTGTGTGCACGAGGTGGAGTGATGTTCCATTGGGAAGACAAACCACTTAGGTAGAAATTGGTTAATCTTCTGTTTTTCTTTTTTTCTGGGAATGGATAATGGATTCAATAATGAACCAAGGGTTATTCATATTGTGGTAACACTGCTGTTTTAATTGAAGTAAATGGCACGATTTTGACAGGGATATGAAAATTGCCAAAGTTTTTCCTTATGAGTTTACTTTTTGGTATCTAGCTCCTTGCCGAACAGAACGTTTCCCTGAAGTGTAGAGTTGATCAGCCAGGCTTTCTGGGCCGCGTATGCAATGGATGATGTACCTCTGGAACGGAAACAAAGTAATCTGAAAATGCAGCGACAGACAGCAATTTGTAACAGAATTAATACAAATTGGTAAAAGACAAATTCGACCTTTGGCCTGAAACTGACCATAAAGAGTAAGAAGTCACACTTTCAACAGAAAAGGCAATATTTTTATTTTTTTCTCTGTTCCTGAGTCTTTATTGATCATATGTCTTTCTTAATAAATGCATCCCAACTCTATGGGTAAGGATTTGTCAAAGATTATCCAAAAAAAGTGTAGTGGTGTTCGAAATTCGCCAGACTCGTGAATAAAATAGGCTACGGAGAAAAAAATGCTAAAAATTTAGGACTCTGTCTAACTCGTTTAACTGGACGGTGCCTGATAAGGTTGTCATCTCTCCCTGAATAGCTGAAACCAGTGACGATTTGCCGCTTCCAACTGATCCTATAACCATCGTCAGTTTACCTGTAAAAGAGAGTGTGATTTTCATTTATACTATCTCTCTTAAGATGGAAATATGAAACTCTGACGTGGACCACCCTTTTTTTTACATCTGGCGTGGAATAGATTTTGTCGCTCTTACTTGCTCATGACATAAAAAATATTCGACTCCTACAGGTAATGAGAATTTCAGAGCGCAATGAACTTCAAGTTTTGGACGATCACTTAATCCAAGTCAAATGTTCCGTCGTATTGACCATGGATTTACTTTTTAATCTTTATACCTGCAGGTATGTCAACATTGATGTTGGAGATAATAGGGATACTGCTGCTCTTGTCCCAGGTGAAGTTACCGTTAGTAATCTGAAAGAGCGAAAAGTAATGTAGAGAAAAAGCTCTCTGTGGGCAAAATACGCAAACATGAAAATCCTATAAGGAACCTATCCAAAACATATTCCCCAGTGGGCAAAATATCAGATGATATGTAACTGTAGGAAAAGTAGACCTCCTGAATAAAACAACATACTAAAACACAGATATTAGGATTGAAGCTTACTCTGATATATGCGTAATTCATTATCTATCGACATAAAGAAGACTGTTTGAGATTCAGTTATTTTTTCTTACTCGTATTCACTCCTATATAGTCTTTCAACTTTAAGCTTCTTTTGTCAGAAGAAACTTTTCAGTGTTATTGATGACACATCAGCAGCATTGTCATTCAACGGTTTACATGTACCTCAATCGCGACCGATTCGGGCAAACGGTTTCTCGTCGCCTTGGTGCTGTTCATTGCCCGATACCCGTCGAATCGCTTAGTCTTTGACACCTCTATCTTGGGAAGCATGTGCGTCGTTTCATCTACGTCACTCGTGATGTCATCTTTGATTCTTTCTAAAGTAGTTTCTTGTTCATTCTGTTAAAATGTGTACATGAAATAACTTAATCAAAAGTATCAAACTCACACATTTTCTGAGACACTGTAATCCCCAGCGATTAATTCCATTTGTGAGGCAGTATTATAAACCAGCTTTTGTAAATCATAAATATAAACAGAATGTCAGTAGCCAACAAACCATACTTTCTCAGGTGCCAACAAGACTCAAATACAGTGTACCCATCCCACCAATTAATATCACGTTCTTTTCTTTCATGGAAAAACGTTGACCAATATGGCTGTTCGTTTTCCAATAATGGCCACACGAAACGGTACGTATTTTTTGTGTCATTTGACATTGTGGGGACAATCCGTCAGACACAAGCTGAAAGTATATAAGTAATGTAATCGACCACACAGCAAGGAGGATCTTGGGAATCATCTATGTCCCTGACGAGCAGGGGTATCAGCGTATTATGAGTTCTACGCGAAAATACATGGTATTTGCAGGGCCAGGAGTCGTGACTCACGTCATCGTGTGGACCCTGCCCCTCCACCGTGTCCCTCCAGTCCCGCCCTGTGCAGCTCTTCTCCACCTCCTGGGCCATGAAAAACCTCTGCAGCCGTGTGGTGCTGATGACACCGTTGACGAGGGCGGCTGTCACCAGGGGAAGCATAAAGAGAGGCCCAGAGAGCTGGTTGAAGAGCGCCAGGGAGGAGAAGGCTTTCTCGGGGGTCAAGGATTCACCGGAGAAGACGGTGTAGGTCCCAAAGGTCTGGAGATTATGGGGAGGATGAACAACAAACATAATTTCAACAATAATAATTTCGGTAATAGATCACACACTGGACCTCTCTTCTTAAAATTCAAATATTTACAAATATCACTTGAGCGTTTTGATGTATAAATTTGAGCGCCAGATCCTTCCAACGGCCATACAGACTATGTTTACTTAAGTAGTGCAATCCATAATTATAATACAAGATTGTCATCCAAGTTTCACATCTTTAGTGCACGAACAAGTTTCTCCAAATCAATTGTAAGACACCAAGACCCGATTTTATGGAATGGTTTAACCTGCCTATCCCCAACATGTACCGTTTATCAATTCAAGAAAAATCCTGAGTTTCTTACTTACCAGTGATTTCAACTCATAAATATTCATGGTGCTATTTACATGTATTACGAAAGATCTAATTTCTAATCCTTTACTGTCTTAATCCTACACCAGCTAAATGTATTCGTATTGTATCGAGACAGTTTGATGTAACTTATATTTTGTCTTTATTTATTGTATATGAATTAATATCATAACATTGTCTTGATACTCTGAATTCATTTTCATTGTTTATCTACCTGCATTGTTAACAAAGATGTGAAATAAACCAAACCAAGCCAAAACAACAAGACGGTATTGTTTATTACATGTATTCCTTCGTTTTTATCATTATTACTTGTTGGAGTTAATCATCCTTACTTGCAGCTGTAAGACCGCATTACGAGAGACGTACATAGGTACATCATGCCGAGTGGCAGATGGGAGGGTAGGAGATGTGTATCCCCCAAGCCAGCCGTTTTCTTCAAAAACGACATCTCTTTCTTCCAACAAATAACAACGGCCCTTCCCCCCAAAAAATCCCCCCCCCCCGGTTCTGATTCTGATTCACCCTTAATACGGTTACTGGTACCTTATAGGCAGTAGACTTGAATCAAGTCGGACTTATACGTTGCTCTCACCAGTCAGCCATCTTTCAGACTGTACACAGTACTACACGGTCGTCGAGCTCGGCTCGGCCGTGCCGGCAGCTCGCATAACCTTATAATCCGCCCTCATTTGATAACCTTTATTGTAAAACGTGTGTCATCCGTCACCATTTAGTAAGTCCGACTTGACGGATAAGCCAATCGGACCCCCCGTTGGTAAATGTAGTTATTCATAATTGCATATGAACGACATGACCTTGCATAATGTATACAGAAATTTTACCAAACAAAGTAGTCAGACTTGTAGAATTTTTACCAAACAAAGTAGTCACACTTGTAGACCCGTTCATTATAATGCAGGTATGAACGACGTAAAAACAAATCCGGCAATGTGACTGGCTGCTATCACTTTTGGTAGACGAGCCCATTCGCTGCGTGCGAACGGTTGGCAGATTCATCAAGTCGGGATTTCTGAACTGAACTCATAGTAATAAGTGGACACAAGAGGGCGCGAAGCAAGTAACAGCGCGATCTCTATTATGTATCCAGAGTATAAACGAAGACGCCACAGAGATCCCAACTTGAGTAAAGTCTATATAGGTAGCCACCATACGACCCATACATCTTAACATGAAAAACGCGTATGTATTGATTTGGTACCGGTATATGTTTGACCCCTAAAAAAGATTACCGGCTGGTGCTTAGACTTGCTTGATCAAATTGAGAAGTTATAACATCTTACCAGCAGCGTAACGACGAGGGGAGATGACGAAACGATAAAGCCTGAAATGGTAAATAGTAAGAATCATGACGTCATATATTTATTATCATGCTCCCTATTATAATTCAGTCATTTCGCATCCTACAAGGATATGTTTCCTCATTAAGTTTTATATTTCAATTTTGCACATAATTAGAAACGTCACATATAAATGCGCATAATGTGCCATACCGATCAACCCGTACGCAGCATTCATCTTTAGTAGCGACATCAGTTCTCGATTCCGTATGTTCTCCACCACCCGAAGATAAAGATGCTCCCAACCATACGACTTCAGAAGTTTGATGCCTTGGAGGATCTCGTTAGAATATCTCAGCCGTTCATCAGCAAGGTTCTGTCAAAAAAATGACGATAGCCATTCATCTTGGATCCACAAGAAGGCGACAGTGCCTTCCCTAAAGCTACATTGGAACGACAGTTGAATTTGGGAGATAGTTGCGTTGGTCCATTTCTTGCTGCCACCCAAACCCACCACAGTGTTCCAAATTTTGTCACCTATCCAAAACAGCAGTATTTATCGTAATTTTTTTTAAGATTTCTTGAGACGAAATTTGTTTTTATTTTCCTCAGAGTAACACAAAATTGAATTTATTTAAAATTCAGTTTATTAATTTTAAGTTATTAAACTTTGGCACATTCCAAAAAGGCACTTCGAACTTAACTGCCTCGTCTGGATGTAAGGAAAATTTAAATATAAACTTGTGTTTATTTTAAAATACTTGTGTTTATTTCGAAATAAGTCACAGAAAAGGGCAATTGCCATGATTACCAGAGCCCTCTTTTGGTGTTTTGCCATGAAGTTGGCAATAACTAACTGCAACGGAATAACCACGAGGTAAACTACAGCTCCTAGAAGTGCGGCCACACCTAAGGCTTCGTACAAGAGATACATAACAAGAGCCACCTGCACAGCAGAAGAACGAGAACATCGATAAAATCACATCAAAGTGGTAAAACTGATTAATTTCGTTAAATGATGCAGCAGGTGTATGAGTTAATGATGGTCGGGTGATATTAGCAGAGCTAACCGACAGATTTGGGTAATCTGCCGGTTGGTCAGTCAGCACGTCATGCAGTCAGTTATTGAATGACCACTCAATCGGTTACGTTTTTGTTGATTGATTTATCGATTAGTCAATAAATAGCATTGTGAGACATCTTTCCTATACTAGGTCACCATTACAGGATAAAATAGAGTTTAATGGTAACCACTGATGAATTCATTTGGAGGATGTTGTTTTGTACATTAAAAACAGTCCAGACGTGAAAAATTGGGTTCATAGGCCCGTGACACGTTAATCGGATGAAAAGGTTAGATATTACATTTACTGTCATGTTAATAAAAGGTAGTGTAAACAAGTTTACTTTCCAGGGGTACAGTTTATAACAGAATAAGTTAAAGTATAGCCATGAACTCAAACTAAGAACTGTTCAGTATCATGTATATGTATATATGTACATCATGGATAATAAATTATACAAATGAAAGATGACAGAAACAAAAATGGTTGAATATCATAAAAGCCAATTTCATTTTGAAATCGAAATTAACTGATAATTATTTGCACTTACCAAGAAAGGAACGGTCCAGGTGAAATGCAAATACTGAAACATGTACAGAAGATTCATGGCGTCAGTCGACATGTGGTTGGTGATCTGACCCGCTGTCATCTCACCACCAGTGGAAGCAAATGTTGACAGGCTCAGCGACTTCTCGTACACCATCGTCTGTGAGGAACAGATATTTACTATATAGGCTATGTCTGCACAAGTACTTAATAGACTTTTCAAAAAGAATGGCCAAATGAACTAGGATTTACGATAAAGATAGTTGTTTATTATAATAATTATTATTATCAAGCAACGAGCCGATCAACCAAACGAAACGAGGTGCGTATAGGGCATCGTTACCTGGGTTTTGCTGGTTTCCCGCGGTTTTGATTTAATAGATTATACTGCGATGGCTGCGAAGCACCGGGGGTTTTGGGGAATTTTTTGCAATACTGTGTTCACTACTTTAATCACCTGTTTTCACCATCCATCAGATTGACATGTACAATTTATTTTCACCGTCCCAGTTTACTTTTCGATTCTCGGGCCCACCTGCAGTCTGTCAACCTACATGCAGCCCCTACTGAACGGAACTTTCCCTGAACAGTGAATGCGAGCATGAATCTGCTGTTATTTTGATCTCGTCTTCTTATTCCTATCTTCCATTTAATTATTCCCATGCCTTGCTGTAATGAGTATCAGATCCCTGTTATTTCTGAACAACCTGTAAAGTGCATTTTCCTGCTTTATACCAGTGGAAAAGTTTACAGGAAAAGGATAGACCATGACATCACCACAATGAGCGATCACTATCAGAATTATTAATACACTTTTCCACGCACTGTGACTCCTCGGGTCTTAAATTATACCATCTTAAAGACGGCTAGGTTTGGAGACTTTAGTCACACTTACCTGTATGCTTGAGCGTAGACACATACCGTAAAATGTGGAATAGAAGAAGCATTTGTGAGCTCCTATGAACTGAAAAGTCGCAGCGATGATTGTGATCCCCATTAAGACGAAACCGTTGGCTACAAACTCGGAAACATCGACGAAATGAGGATCCAGCTGAATCAGACATAGGAAATTATTCAAATCATGAGAAACACTCCACCAAAGGTAAA